ACGAAGCAACAAGGATAAGCACGAAACATCATAGATAAACTGAATTTAAAGAGTAAAAGGTAAGAAATCTTCTCTATATCGAAGTACAAAGGGAGATCTCCTCCTAGAATCCAAATCCAATGAAGAACAAAGATGAAAACGTGTTTAGTGTTTAGAGAAGAGATAGGCGGCTGCCTAGGGCTCCCTAGTCGTGCCCTCTTGCTGCTTATTGATGCTTAATCTCCTAAAGAGGCTAAAAACAAGTATATATAGGTATAGAGTCTTCTAGGGTTCACTTTAGGGCATAACGGTCTTTTAGGTCGAAAATGCTCCAATATTAGGCCAAGCAACGGTCGGGTTTATAGGCCGGTGTTGGAGTCTTCTTTGGGGGTTCATAAGTACTGGCAATGGTCTGGAACATCGGTCCACGAGCTGGTCCGGTGCTAGACTCGTTTCTGCACTTCCTTCATCTCTGAGGCAGTTTAACATGTCTTCAGTACTTCGGGTGTATCTTCCTGGTCACAGGTCCAAATGATATGATTCAAACTCCATTATGGATTTAACTCAAAGATCTATCTACCAACAAGTTTAATCCAATTCCAAGCTGATTTTATCCTTCGTTTATCATAAAACTTCTGGCGTGTATGTTCTGTCCAACTTGGTAGAATGTGATATCTTGTGGAATCTTTGTCTTGGACAGTGTCTTTGGCTTGTGAATGTTTCTGTAGCTTAGTTTACACCTATTTTGGTCCTTTTAGCTCATTTTTGCTTGATTTCCCTGTTAAGACTCTAAAACTACAAATACGAGGAAAACTACTTCTTTTGGGCGAAAAGCTTATTAAAGTGCATAGAAAATATAGTAAAATAGATAGTAAAAGTGGTAAAATATGGGACATATCAATGAAGGAGAAACTCAGTCTGGCTGCCAAGGCAAGTAATTTGGAGAAGAAATTGCATGTTGAGAAGGAAATATCTGCTCAATTTCAGTCGCAACTTGATCTACAGTATAAGAAGATTCACATGTTCGCTGGTACAAGGCAATTGGATAAGATCCTGTCTTATGGGAGGACTGAAACATCCACAGAGGTCTCGGATACACTGGAAGAAATGGTCCAGAGGCCAAAAACATCAAGTTCGTGTCTGCTGGTGTGTCTTCACACCGTTTTCACATAAATGAAAGTACTGCAGCACGCAGAGCTGAAGTTGCTACAGCACAAAGAACTAGATGTTACTTTTGTGGAAAGCACGGACACATAAGAGCCTTCTGTTACAAGTACTAGGAGAGGATTAAAAGGCTCAGATAGGAAGAAAAATTCACATGAAGTAGATCCCGTAATCACATTTGGGTGAAGAAATGTGACCTGCAGTCGACTGTTACAAGATGTACTTCACGCAGCACTATAGGATTTGGGTCTCAATGCAACATGGCTATTCTTTCAAGCGAATTAGAGGATGATTGATATATCTATATATTTGCATTATCTATGTACATATTTGCATTCCTTTATCCTCTGTTTAGCATCATTCTGCATCATTTAGGCATCCTTTAGCTCTAGTTTAGTTCAGATTTGCATTTTAGAGTCCTAGGTTAGGATTGTACGTATTTCTCTTCTTTTACCTTTTTTCAGGTGGTACTTGTGCTTAATTGGAGTTATCCGGCTTACTAGAGTCTTGA